AGAAGGCAATTACGGTTAATTGGCGTTATTTGTTTGCAATAATGACTGTATCCTATAAATACTGCAAAATCCTGTGCGTACGATACCCGTATCTGCTACTGCTCTCTGACTCTGTCTCTGATGACGAATCCGCGACGGATCGCGAAACTTCAGGCGAATAAAAGTATTCTCCCAGCGATCGAGTCGTCTCCTTTTCCTCAATTACTTCCTGGGACGCGCATGTTCGCTTATATTGGAATCAATATCTGCTGAAATGTCATCACGCCTAAGAGAGGTGATGACTGCTCAATCAGCTGACTCGCCGACATTATTGTTGGAAAGTTTGTCCGTCTGGTTGCTCCCCGAGTGGCCGATAGCTTTGAGCAAACCATGTCGCGACATCGAATATGGGTTGGGGGGGCACTGCAATTCCTACTGGACTGGGAGGCCGGTAGACCATGACTCGAGCAACTTGCAGCTCACGCGATTGTCACCACGATCGTGTTTACTTCTTTTCAATTACTGCCAGGGACTCGCATTTTAGCTTGTAGAGGCAAGGAGTCTCCCAGCTGGAAGGACAGAGGGATAACATTACGTACAGGCACGCGACTTCACGAGGTAGGGGGGAGGAATAGACAAACCACTGACCTTGGAGGTCTTGCAGTTTCCGCTTTACTCATGACAGCCGATCGATTTTCCGTCATTGTACAGAGGAAGGGGACGTGTGACTGTGGCTAAACTCTATGGGATACGGCGTACAAGTATTTGATGTTCAAAGTCCAGCAGTATTACTATCAAAATGAATAAAGATCTGAGATGAATATTTCTGGCTAGTCTTCGTCATCCGCCATCCACATCCTGCTTGAGCCCGGATTCACCCATCTGATAGGAAGTTTTGACAGTCTTTAATAATCCATTTGGCCAAATTGTTAAAAGCTCGGCGGCCTCGGTGGGATTCGAACGCTTACCAGCGAGAGGAAGGCTCTAGTAGAGCCAACGCTCTAGCCAACCGAAGTATGAGGACTCCACAGGGAAGCGTGAGTTTAATCCCACTGGAGTCAGGTTACCCGTCAATCCTACGCAACATTTGCAATCTATAATGGCCCAACTCCAAGTGCGATACTTAAAATCTTGCCTCTCGCAGCCGCTAGCGCGTGCGCACTTGTGGTCCGAACCCAATCCGGTCTGGCCAATCATCTTCCTAAGGCTAACTCATACATGACCTGATTGTGACGACTCCTGCACTTTAACACTTCGGATGCGGACGCACGCTTGTCCGACTGTCAACCTTCTCTAGCCTATTCTTGTACTCGTTACGGCTGCGATCATGACTGATCTAGCCGGCCTCAATTATGTCCCGTATAATGCTTCTCCATGCGCAACAATCCGTGGCCGCAGACCGCGACATTTCGACCCATTCTCTTCGCCAGCGCCGGAGACCGAATACCAAAGGTCCAAGA